TATTGGCTCCCAGCATCGCAACTTCTGAATTCTTCCAAAGCAGCAGGCATTGCTTGTGGTCCAGAGAAACACACAGCTTCTATGGATTACAAGAAAGAATAAAAAACAAAACAATAAATAAATTTTACAAATAAAGTGAAAGACTGAGATCCAGAATAGGTAAATCCATGGAGACAGAAAGCAGATTAGTGGTTACCAGGAACCGTAGGGAGGCGAGATGCGGAGTGACTGCTTAATGGTGCAGGGTTTCCTTTTCGGGTGATAGAAATGTTTTGGAACTAGACATAGGAGATTGATGCACAGCACTGTTGAGGAACTAAATGCTAATGAATTATACACTGTAAAAAGGTTGATTTTGTATTATGTGAATTCTATCTCAATAAAACATAACAATAGAAAGCACAATGGGTAACCACAAGATTGCCACGGGGATGCGAAAGACAGTTTGGGAATATAATCAATAATGTTGTAAAGATTTTGTAGGATATCCAATGGACACTTGTCTTATTAGGGAGACCACTTCATGGACAGTGTAGAGGCCTGACCACTGCAGTGTACACCTGAAGCTGAAGCTGAAGAATACTGATTGTCAACTACTATAGATAGATAGATAGATAGATAGATAGATAGATAGATAGATAGATAGATATAGATAGATAGATAGTCATAGATGTGGAATACAGAACAAGGAATAGAGTCAGTGGAACTGTAACAGCTATATACAATGTCAGAGGAGGAGTAGATTAGGGGAGGGGGCTATCACTTTGTGAGGAGTATAAATGTCTAACTATTACATTGTTTTATACACCTGAAACTAATAAAAAAACATAACAAAAAATAATAAATAGGAGGAGGAAACTTCATTGTGCATTCACCTGGGAATTTAAAGCCCTACTTAGGGGAATAAAGAAAAATGATCCAGAGGTTTTGTGACATTTTGATTCCCTCTCTCCCCAATGCTACTCCTTCCTCTCAAGTTGCTCGTGTACACCATGATTTTAGATCACTTATGAAATTGCTAATGTGTACTTTAACCTCCACATTAAACTCTGGTTTGTACTTACGCATATTAAAACACAGCACTAAATACTCATCTGACAAGCTATATTTTAAACCTCAAACTAGATTTTATTGGGCCTGGATGTGTTTTAATGTATCTACTAAATTTTAGCTGGAGTGAAAAATGGCTGGCAATGATGATTGATAAGGCAGGGTAAAGTCTCTCACATTCTATCCCACATTTTCTGCTTCCGCCTGGGGGACTAGCGATTGGCAGCCCCACTGCCTAAGAGCTCTAGAGAGCTTTCGGGAAAACATTTCAAACAACGTTCTGATTGCCTCATGCAGGGTCTGAGGGATCACAGAAAGGCTTCTCATTCCGGTAACTTGCCCAGCACCCAGGACCTCAAGTGTATCCCATTAGAGCTTTTGGCCCTTGACAGACTCTATCAGAGCAGGCTTGGGTTAACCTTCCTCCAGGCCCTTTCACAACCTTTATAATTCTCTGTCACAGTTTTGAAAGTCCTTTCCCGCTCATCAACCCTTGCGGATGCACACAGCCTGCAGGATAATGCCCAAGCAGCTCGTCCCAGGAAAGCAGAAGCAAAACTGACAGTTTTGAGGCTCAAAGAGTGCCTAGTATTGGGTTAAGACTTCATATCAAGCATCTCCCTGAGTTCTAGCACTGCAAGGTCTTGTCATGGCCATTTGGGGGAGTGAGAACACTAGGTACAAGGTCACACAAAGGCACACAGCTAGTCAAGCCTTCACCACACTGCCCTGCCCTTTCCTCTCCGACATTTGCTCTGCCATTTCTATCCTCTGCTTCAGCCAGTCTCCTCCACTCACCATCCCCTGACTTGTCACAAGGGGCCTCCATCTAGAACGTCTCTGTCCTTCACATTCCAAATTTCACCCATTCCTTCAGGTTTGGCTTCTCCAAGAGGCCTTCTCATTCAGGTCCCAGGGCGCCCCCTCCTCTGAATCCCCATGTATTACACGACTGCTCATCAAACATATGCACCTAGAGTTGCACCTTCTCTCCTGCCTCCCCCCCTCAAGCAAAGTCTCCCTGAGAGCATCTACTGGGTCTTGTTTTTCTTTGTATCTGCTGTAGGACCTGGTAGGCTTGAGAGGTGGTTGGAACCAGACAGTGGTGATGGTTGCACAGCACTGCGAATGTACCCAATGCCACTGAATTATAAGGTTCATCCATGTTGTAGGCAGGTGGAAACTGCTCGATGCTCTCAATCAGCAAGAGATTGATTTTTTCCAGGACAAAGCATTGAGCTTATTTCCCAGCTTCTGTACTTCTCTTCCCCCTACCCCACCCTGCCCTGGGCGGTCCAATGGGCTCCAACTCATTCTATCAGCCTGTCTTGCACAGGTGAGCCTGGCCTCACTCGGGCCTACTCCCCTACTATACCATCTCTCCTAGGGACAGCCTGGAAGATGAAACGGGCTCTGTTTTCCCTTTACACATCCAATGACATTATTCTGTTCAGGCAGGGACTTTGGGAAAAGTCATGCCAAATGAAATATGGCTGCTTATTCAAGAAATGAGCAGGTTGTACCCTGTCTCCAGTGTCTGAAAGCTGCTGACAGGGTGGTATGTGGATGGTGTAGGCAGGAAGAAGGGGTTCAGTGGCATTAAGCACCCACAGGAAAAGACAGGGGCCTTGGGATGGGGGTCATGGATGGAAGGCATAGCTTCCTGCATCATGTGATTTCAGAGGTGCTGTAAGACCCCAAGGGTCCCCAAACATATTCCTGTGAACTTGTAATGGTTTCTTCTTCTTTCCTCCTGTGTTCAAAATTCCTGTGATTTCAGTTCTTCTCTGTTTTAGATTATATGGCTGCTTCCCTGCTACACCATTTCTCCCAGATGCACAGGTTGGAAAGATTAATTAGGGTAGGGTGGGTGATGTCCGCATGTTTTCTGGGAAGATAGACCCAGTTAGGAAGGGCAAGGAAGGCTAGAATGAGAGGCTGTCACTCAATTTCTGCAGAGGACTAATTGTAACGTTGGGGATACTTTGACTTGTACAGGGAGTCAGAGGGTAGGACAGGTACATCAGGAGTAGGGTAGGAGAGTGAGGAAACGCCTACGGGGAAAAGGACTGAAAGTGAGTGGGGAAGAGGATGCTGACAGCACCTGACACAGCTCAGCCTGACCAGCTCCCTGAGATGGGACAACCCAAAGCTGGCCCAGCACCAGGCGGTGAAAATCCAGCCCCTACAATGACAGGCTGAAGATGAGANAATGATTTCCTGAGACCCTGTGCCATCCAAACAGAGGACCCACCCAAGCTACTTCCAGTGGCTTTTCCATACAAACAGCCTATCTTGGCTTATGCTGTGGACTTTCCAAAAATCTTTCACAGGTTCACAAAATCCAAACAAGCAGCATCTCGTCTTGGTGGGACCCATACCTCTTGCTGAGCAGCCCAAAGTCCAACATTGGCAACACTCAGCCTCAGTTTTTGGGTTAGTCTCTTTAAGCACCTCCAAGGCTCAGCACAGGTGGCTGCCATCTGCGGATTGCTTTTTGGCTCATGCCAGGTGTCCCTGGGCAGAGACAGGCTGCGGCTGAACTTGGTCTGCAGTGGTACCTCTCCCAGGAGGCCCTAGGACCAGCATACCTAGTGGTCTACTTGGGACTAGACTGATCTGGAGCACCACCCAGCTGCCTCTGCAGACAACACACCCAAAGTGCAGAGTGGGCAGGCAGCAGAGCCCTACTAAAGTAAACCTTGCTCTGTACAGTCAGCCCCTGCACAACAGTTCCTCCACTGTAGTCATGGGCAGTCCTCTGAACTAATCAATCTCCCATTGATGTAAAAACAGCAACGAAGGCTCAATTACAACAGGAGGGCACACACAACCCACACACACAACCCACACAAGGGACACACCTGGAGCACCTGGCTCAGGTGACCAGGGAGACTACAACACTGTGTCCCACAGGACACCTACTACATAAGGCCACTCTACTAAGAATGGGAGGCATAGCAGCCCTACTTAATACATAGAAACAAACACAGGGAGGCAGCCAAGAGGGGAGACAAAGAAACATGTCCCAAAGGAAATAACGGAACGAAGCTCCAGAAAAAGACCTAAACTAAATGGAGACAAGCATTCTACCAGATGCAGAGTTCAAAACACTTGTTATAATGATGCTCAGTGATCTCAGGGAGAACTTCAACAAAGAGATAAGAAACATAAAAATAGAGATAGAAAACATAAAAAGGACCAGCCAGAATTAGAGAAAATAAGAACTGAAACAAAAAANATACTGCTGCCATTTTTTTCTGGAGCCCATTGCTAGCACTATGAGGGTGTGGGGGAGGCAAGCTCTGGGAGGGGATGGGAGACGTGGCCATGCTCCATGGCTCTGTTTTTTGCCTGGCACTGAAGGCTATTAGATGACAGCTGTAGCACTTTGTCCCATGGCCCATGTCTCTGCACTTCTCCCTTCCCTCCTCCTCTGTTCACCCTGATTCGCCCACCTTCAGATGTTTTGATGCAAGAATCCCTCAGATGTGTTTGTGTGTTGTGTAGGGGATCCTTTGTTGAAATATAGCTGTTCACCTTGTGTAACTTCAAGGGGAGATATCAAGGGAGACCCCTCATGCAGCCATGTTTCTGACATCACTCTCGGCATAAAATATTTTAAATCCTGCAGTCTGAATTGTATCCTAAAGTGACAAAATATTTCTCCTTGTACCTTTAACTATGCCAGTTTGGAACTTCGTTGAAAGACTAAAAAGAACTTGATCTGTAACCTCTTCCCCAGTCCCAGCTCCACATTCAGGTTTTTATTTAATAGTTTGTAAATTATAGGGAAGAACTACAAATGCAACAGCAAATGAAGGTTAAATTACATCAGGACAAAAAAAAACAAAAAGCAAAAAACAAGTATAAGTGTTAAATTTCACTTTAAGCCTCCAAAGAGATAGCAGGTGAAATGTCTTCAGACTAAATCCCTTTCTCCAAATTGCACTGTGAAGGCTGAGTCAGACACGCTGAGCACAAGGAACTCCCACTGACATCAGTGCACATTTGGAGAACAGGCTATTA